CCCCCCCCCCCCCCCGCAATACTTTTGGTTCATGGCTGGTTGAATCCTCAGATGCAGAAACTATGGATACGAAGAAGTGACTGGAACTTCTGAAATGAGAGACTATCTCAGGGGATTCAAATTGGCCTATGGAGCCAAGGGAGGCTCATCTGAGCAGCGACGACTAAGCAGAGACAGGAAGAATAAGTAGGGATTAATTAGGGGACAAGTGCAAAAAGAACTTTCCAGGTGGTAGGAACAGCATGTGTAAAGATTCTTCCAGTAGCATGAGATGAGGGGAGAGTTCAGGGAGGGGTTAGGGAAGCAGGAAAGGCAGAGGAAAAGGAGAGGGGTCAATATTTATGAAGTGCTTTCTTCATACTGATCAGTATTCTAAGCTTTTTATGTGCATTAACTCACTTACAAAAATCCTAAGATGTAGATGCTATTATATTCCCATTTTCAAGATGAATAAATTGAGGCAAAGAGAGACTAAGGACTATTCCCGAGGTCACACAGCAGGCTAGTAGAAAAACCAGAATTTGGATCCCAAACCTTAACCACTATACCACATTGTCTGTGGCAGAGACTGATTAGATACATCCTTAAGGGCCAGGAGGAAAGTTTTGGTCTTTATTCCAAGTAGAAAGCCTTTGAAAATATCTGGGCAATAGACAGACTCACTTAGAGGAGATGGAAGTCAAAAAAGGACCGTGAGGTCAGCATAAAGGCAGCTGACATATAATAAGATTCTGACTCATTTCTCAGCAACTAGAAGACAAAGAATTACTCGGAAACCAAGTATGGCCAGTCTTGATTAATAGTCTCCAGATTCGTTTTTTCCTTCAGCAGAAAATGTTCTAATTAAGAAATCTAACTGAGTGATTCAGTCATAACACTGAAAAGAAAATCTAGAGAAGAAAATTAATAGTTCTATTAAAATAATTTTTTTAAAAAAACAAGCATGCACAGAAGTTTTAGTCAATGCTCTCAGAGAATGAGAACAGGAAGGATAAAGGCAACAAATTAGAGTACATACAAAGGAAAATTATAAATATTGTTACTTTGACACCATACACTCATTGAGGGAGGAAGACAAGTAATATCACGAAGTAATAAATGCAGAAATGTGGTACCTATCTAATAGGGGTGGCCACACTGAGGAGAAAGTCAATTTGCACTGAGATCAGTGACCCAAAGCATAAAAGCCTGGCCCAATAGCAATCCCCCTACAGTCAACAGGTTGAAGGACTTTAGAGGCCTGCACAGGGCCCACCACTCAGATCGCCCTGCTCTGCCTCAGATTGCTACTGCTCTGGCCCCAGTCCTAGAGAGAGCCCTTTAAGCAAGTCGATATGGACTGATT